CGCTTAAGTATATATATGTATCAATGTCTAATACAAAAAAGAACTTAATCTGTTGTTCGAAAGTTATTTGGTCAACAAAAGATATACAAGCCAAACGTCTTTACTAATGAACGACAAAATTAAACTCAGATGTAGAGCTTCGTTTCATAGCACACTTTTATATTATGCATACATATGTATATATACATTCTACTGGTACAGCAATGGGTAAGATGCTGCATTATGGACAGAGGCGTCTCTAGGTGCTGAAAGATTCGGGCGCGGGAATTTTCGGTGTTTCAGTATGTTATCTATAATGGTTTTCTATTCTGGGGACTTGCGGCACTGTCAAATAAAATCGAGGCACGTGTCCCGTGTGTCAGTGCCTAACGACGCCTCTCATTCTGGAGGTGAATCGAAAAAATTAACTCTTGTATGTCCTTAATTCTTTTTAAAATATTCAGAGTATTATTTGAGTATGTATACAATACATTATGTTTCTACGGAAGGAAAACACGCCTTCAAATGATGATGCTTTCCTAAAACAGAAATTAAAATAAAGATTTTTCGGAAGAATGAAATCACTTGAAGCATCTCTGCATGAATATTTCCAAAACAGAAACTAGTTTTTTTTTTTCATACCCTATTTACTTGAATGGACATTTTTCAGTTCTCTCGGTAACAAATAATATGCAGCCACCTAGTGACTTTTTGAATTGCTCTAAAAATCAGCAGATAAATATTCGACTTATAAAATAATAGTTTCAAGAAAAATACCGGTTGCTCATCAAAAAACTAATTTTGTGTTAGATATATATATACCAATTTTTTTAGTATGAATGTGTTTTTAAAACTGTTTTTTTCTTCTTCTTTATAATTTTGAAAAGGAAGATTCTTTTTGGCTGTTATAAATACAACTTTTTTTTTACGTTTCTTGTTATTTCGCTTATTTCTACATCATTATATGTACCCCCCCCCCCAGTGGCACAGCGGCATGTCTGCGGACTTACAACGCTAGAAACCGGGTTTCGATACCCGTAGTGGATAGAGCAAAGGTAGCCAATTGTATAGCTTTGCACTTAACAACAATAATCAACCACTTCCGAATTAGGCCTCGTTGTGACAGTATTAAACGAATTAGGCTTACAGGTAGAAGTTGCTGTTTGAAAATATTCAAACAATTATATTATTTGGTTAATTCGTACATATGCAAAAACATTTTAGGATGAAATGAGTGTCAGCATACAGAAAGTATAAGTCTGTCTGTAATAGACTTCATATATAGCTTTGTGTAGAAAGAATAGTTTCTTATCACAACTCCTCAACACAAAGATACATTTTTAGTGTAACTATCTAGCTTCGTAAACAGTCTAACACAAAGTGAAAACGTATGATAGACAACTCTCATCATTACATTTTAACTTGTAGTATGGTAAAAACCGTAATAGTTTCTATCGTGTTCTTTATAAAGTAACATATAGAAACCCACATTTAAGGGTGAAAAGTTTGTTATCGCACACACACACACACACATTTTTAACTACAAGTCTACGTTAGAGCGTTTAAATCTGGGGCAACTAAAATAAACTTTGCCTGTAGTTTCGGTTTATGATATCAAATGGCACTAATGTGGTCAAGTATTGCCTAAAAGACTACGATTTTGAACTAGTTTTAATCCTATTAAGATTTCATAACAATGTCTAAAATTTAACAACACTTTCTTTATAAGGCAGATAAAATAGCACATTTAATTTTATACGATATAATTGCCAATAATTTGTGACTTACTACTAATAAGGTAAAGCATGACCTAATGGTTAGCGTGCTGGCCTATGGATCGAAAAGTCTAAAGTTTATACCGTGATGATGCTGAAAGCTTTCCGTATTTTCATCTGATGGTACGTTATAAGAGTGACAGCCAAACCTGTTTGTTTTGAATTTCGCGCAAAGCGAAAAGAGGGCTATCTGCGCTAGCCGTCCCTAATTTAGCAGTGTAAAACTAGAGGGAAGGCAGCTAGTCATCACCACCCACCGCCAACTCTTGGGCTACTCTTTTACCAACGAATAGTGAAATTGACCATCACATTATAACGCACTCACGGCTGAAAGAGCGAGCATATTTGGTGTTGCGGGGATTCGAACCCGCGACCTGCAGATTGCGAGTCGAGCGACCTAACCACCTGGCCATGCCGG